ATACTTGTAAATCTGCTCATTGCTGTTGCATAAATCGCTTTCTATATATTCGCGTCATATATCAAGAACGCCCATGTTAAGAATAAAATCTTTAACATACTTATGCATAAATCATGGGAACAGATTTAGATTATTTCTAGCCTCTTCTCTATTGTTTTCTGTAACGCCAAACGGAGTTAGAATTACACGTTTATATAGAATGCTATCTCTAGCTTCAACTAAATTTCTTAGATAACTTGATATTTTCTGCAATGCCATTATGTTAAATTCAAATGATTCAGCATTAATTCTAGCAGGAATAATATGAGGGTTAAGAGCTACAACATATGAATTATTATTTGGTTGATTTCATTCATGGCAATCTCCTTAACGCAATAAGTGATTTTACCGTTATTCAGCGCAACTTTCCAAATTTTGTTAAATTAGTGTTGCAATCTCTACTGTAGAAGATATCGTGGTTTTCTTTGATTTGTAAGGAAGTCATTAAGCTCAATATTGTTATTTTCATATAGCTCATTTCGATCCACGGTTAAAAATTCGGAAATGCTACAGTCCATGCGTCAAATCCGCTTATTTTCCATGTAATACTCCATGTAATGTCCATGATGTAAAATATTCTCATTCGGTAATTTATAAAAACAACCCAGTCGTTGAGTGCAATTATTGTCCAACTCTCATCCGTGTATTGTCCACGATGTGATCTATGTAGTTAATACCGGTACAATACTGTATACCGGTAGTTGTACCAATCACTTTAGCCTTTCATTTGCTTTTCAAACCCAAACTCGCCCCCCTTCGAGCATTGCCGCCGCCGCCGCTCCGTTACCTGCACGCCGCAGCCTACGTCACGAAATCAACCGTTGCTGCAATCGTCGGCCATGTCGCTCAGTCTACCCGCTTCCGCGACGTCTGAGGTGCGTTATCTTGCTGTTTGTGGTCTCTGTGAACGTGTTTCTAACCGTGCGTTATCTATTTGTAAATACAGGGTGGATCGTCCGACTCCTCTTCAGATATCGACACCACGGCTTCCGCAGCCTCCGGCGCGGCTGCAAACTCGGACGGCGCCTCGCCTGACACGGACGATTTCAAGCGTCCATGTATTGTCCAGGTCGTAGACTCTCCCTCCCTTGTGGAGGGCCCCGCAGACGTGACGTATCCGAGCTGGTCGGCGTGGAATGAGTATTTGAAGGCTTACTCGGTAAAGTCCCGCCAGGTCATCCGCATCCAGTCAACGCTTAGTTGCGTATTGAGAAACAAGCGGCTGGGTCAAACAGCGGCAGCAAAGCAGGGAATGGATGTTCCGTACGTACCAGAGACGTGGGGTGCTTACCAACGCACATACATCTGCACACATGGCTGGCCAGCAAAAGACAGGAGCAGCGGATTGCGAACCAAGCACTTCGTCCGAGGATGCGGTTGTCCATTTCGATTTGTGGTGCAGCTCGTGCAAGTTGACGGCTTATGCTGCCTTCGCGTGAAGAACGGTGTGTACCAGCACAACCATGCGGTGGGGATAGCGCAGTTCAAGACGTACGCGGAGAACCGTAGGTTGGACGACACGGACACGAAGGATGCTGTGGGCAGCATGGTGATGTACGGTAGAAAGCGCGCACGCATCTATGAGTATCTTCTGGGGAGAGGCTAGAACCTCGTCAAGAAGGATGTGGACAACATTGTGCAACGTGTTAAAGCAGAGATAAGAGGAGGGTTGAATGACGACGACGCTTGCGCCGCAACTCTCGCGGAATTCGCAGCTATTGACGGTAACGTAGTCACGGTGGACGAAACTGATGCGGGACACTCTGGTGTGATCAGTATGACTTCCAGACATATGCGCGACATGGTTACTAGGTTTCCAGAGCTTTTGCTTGTGGACTGTACCCACAAAACGAATCGGTAAGTCCTCCCAAGTATTGTGCAATTATTTGTCCATGTATTGTCCATGCTTATTTTAATGTCATGCCCATGTATTGTGCGATTCTTGTCCATGTAATGTGCATTAGATACAACTATCATCGACGCATTAGTCCACAACATGGTATATGCCTTAAGTTCAGAGATCTACGAGACCAATTGGACCTCCATGAAGGCACTTTGCACTAGGACTGGATATATGGCATTTTACAACTACATGGATGAAAACTGGAACACTTGTACGGAGATGTGGGTCATGTACCAACGCTCACGGTTGGCACATTTGCGCGTCCACACGAACAACCATTTAGAGAATTGGTTTGGGCATTTTAAGGACGGGTTAAACTCCAACATGACCATGACGGACACCGTGAAGGCCCTTGTGGGTGCTGATACCAGGACTTCCAGTGAATACGTGTTCGACAAGACTAGGATCGGGTTACGTGTCAACCGCAACTACGACGAGGAGATGTGCCAAGTTTTGTGCTTACGACGCATTTCGTAGCAACACACGTGAAGAAGGAGTACGTAATGGCATGTTCGAAGGTCGACAAGTTCAATTTCGACTTAAAGTCAAAGCCAGGCTTCGTGGAGGTGACGGGTAAACACAAGACGCATGCTGTGGATTTGAAAACGTGGAGCTGCACTTGCTCGTTTGCTTCTGCAATACGTCTGCCTTGTCAACACGCGATCGCGTTTCGGAAGTGGAGTAACGCCCCAGGAAGCGTAATACCGCTGAGTTGCATCGATGAAAGGTGGGTTAACTCACAATTTATCCACGTATAAGCCGTGAGTTGTCCATGTAATATCGAATATTGATGTTGTACTGAGGGTCTGACATGTCATTCATTTAGATGGTTACATCCTGCTGAACAACCGATGACTCCGCGGCCTTTTGTGCTTAATGAGTTTAAACCAGGGGAGGCGAAACACAAGGTGCTTGACGCTAATGTTAAGTACAAGGAGGCAGTCAGCGCGTTCCAGGCTATATGCAGTGAGCTAGGCGATATCTCTGATGACGACGAGTACCGTGAGCATTTAGACTTCGT